AAAGAAAGAAAGAAAGAAAGAAAACAACATGAGATTTTAAGCTACACTTGGGATGAAATCCAAACTTTTAATAGGTGATCAACCTCTCTGACACTCAGATTTTATTATAATCAACCTTAAAGAAAAGCTGTGTGGATTAAAGGAAATAATGTGGGTGACACCTACATGGCACTTGAGCAGGAAATGGAGACCTGTAGAGATTATTTTTTTCTCTAAAGATGAAGGCTAGACATAAGCTTTCCGTTGCCTCTTTTGTGGCTTTCTAAGGGAAGCTTCTCCTACTCAAGGCTTGGGGCCCACCCAGAGGCGCCAGCCTTGGCGACGTTCTGGTGACTGTACCAGTGAGGGCTGCAATCTGTTCGGGGATGGTACGGATTCACGAGCACTTTTACTTATAAGGCACTTGCTGCACTTTAAACATTTCCACCCTTACTTTATGGATTGCGGGGTAAAAGCAAAAGGTTAAGCCAGTTGCTCAGACTTAGTTACTAAGTCAGTGGCAGAAGCCAAATACTCTGTAGAGACATCAAGGCCAACTTAAAGAAACCTGAAAAGCTTTTTCCCAAAGAAAAGTGCTAAGTAACTCAAAACAGTTGTGTAATAATGTCCTGGACTGATACTCTGAAACACTTTCCGATACACTGGGTCCTCACAATCACTGCACACCTATGTAAACTACTGGTACCACAGGAGTCCAAGGTCACCCAAGCCTCCTCCTATTTGTCCTGGACTCACTTTAATTCATGATTATGAATTTCAAACATAGGATCCCACTGCAATTCCCTAGTCCATTCTTTCTTCCATTCTCAAGGAGAGCTATTCCACAGCTTCTGTTCTCAAACCCCCAACATGATCTGCACTCTCCTTTAATTCATTTATAGTAGCAAAGAGAACTCTGTCACCTGCATATAGCACACACATAACTGCCTCCCCTTCTCTGAATCCTAGAGACCAAACTTTTGTGTTCCTCCTGTAGGACAAACTTGGATGTGCCGCCATCACAGGGCTTCTTCCTGGCAGCTGGATTGTCCCTATTGTACTGTGAAGTAGAGTGGAGCACTTCCCATGTGGTGCTCCCCTCTGGTCTGAAAGTAGGCAGTGTGATAAGCCTGGTCTCTGGAGATAAACAAAATAACAACCAACCAAACAACTTGTCTCCAGCTATCATGCCAGTTCTCAGCTCCCTCTATAGCAAAATGTCTTGAAAGAATTAGCCATGCTTACTCTGGATTCCTCTTTGCTCATTTTCCTTTGAACCCACACTAATCATGCTTTTGACCCTTTCCTCTTCTCAAATCGTTTCTCGTCAAGATCACTAATGGATGATGATCACTAATGAGTATTGCTGAAAGTAGGGACTGCTCATCTGCTTGGATATCTCAGTTCTCCTTTACTGAATCTACACCGGATTCAAGATGAAATGCCCAGCACAGCCTGGGTTTTTCTTTCAGCATTTGGCTTTTGAGCTTGTTTAGAGGCTTAGGTGAATAGCAATGGGTGGGCCAATGCAAGCAGGAGCATTTCTACTCTTTGAGAAGCTCAAATAGCTGTAGGGTTGCTTCAGGGACAAAAGGATGAGAGAATAACTAAGTTGATATTTAGCTCCTCTGTGGTTTCAGGTAGAAAATCTTTTATGAGAAACAACAGATAAAATGATATAAAAAGGAAAGAGGCTATTTTGGAGACAAAGAAATAAAGACATTGCATGAGGCCTTCTTACAGGATAAACTGACAGCTCAGGAGTTCCTCGATTACAACTTTTACCCCCCAGGACTCACATCTACCTCTGAGCACCCCTAAAGCCTGGATCCTGGTCCTTGGCTTCTTTCTGTTTTTTTCCCAGCCAGTGGGAGACAAAACTGTGGAACTCAGGGGGTCGTACCAAAGGAGAAACAATTGAGGCTGGGAAGGAAAAAATCACCTGTCCCAATACAGAGAAAACAATTTTAGGTGGAAAAAGCTCTCAAATTGGAAGTTCATTTTTATAGAAAAATCTTAATATAATATTGATTTAAAGTCAGGTACCTTTTACTATAACTATTGCTTGAAGTTTGTGTTGGTGAATTTGTGTGGGCTGAATTGCAGACCTAAATTTCATGCAAATACAGGATTGAATGGTTGACTTCCAGAAGAGAGGGAGGACAACCCTGGAAATCAGAGAGAATTCTATGTGGGTGGGTGTTCTGCACTGATGTTCAAAGGCAGAAATGAGCATGTCATTGGGCTCATTCTTTATACATGAAATTAGTTACAAATATGACACACAGGCAGTCAGTGAAAGTAAGGCTGGGGAGGCAGTAAGAGGAGAATCATTTCTATTTCCCCCAAATCTACAATACACATTTAATAATGAAAGGTAGAAATACTAAAGCAAAGAAAAGTGATTGTTTAAAAGGAGTATGTTGTACTACTTTATGAATCAAATCCCATTAGAACATTATAATTGATGTCTATGCATGATATATCTAGGATTGCTGCCAATACCCAGGGCCACTGGTGATGGTGTTAGCAATAGACAAAAAAGAAGTTGCCATTTTTTACCAGCAACCCAGTAAGGGATCTAATTCAATTCATCTTGTAGTTGTATTTCTGGGGAAATAAACAGGATAAGAATACTTGCTATTTTTCTTTAAGGTAAGAAGATTCCTTATTTCAATTCAATGTCTCATATGATTCCTACTATAAAGATTGATCTAGAGCCCCACTATTCCCTGAAACTGATAGAAAGTTGAAAATGGTTAGAAAATTGAATAACCCTGAGATCTCACTGCTGCATATGGAGAATAGCCTCGTGACCTTCCACAGAGCAAACATCTGGATGACAAAAAGGCTAAAAACAGGGCTGGAGAGATAGCTCAGTGGTCTAAGAGCCTGCTTGGCAAGTATAAGGACCCAGGTTTGATTCCTGTGCTGGCCACCCAAACCAGGTGTGGTGATGCACACATGTAATCCCAGCACTGGAAGGTTGAGACAGGAGGATCACTATGAGTCTGAGCTGTGAAGTGAGATCCTGTACCAAATAAATAAATAATTTTTGAAAAGCTAAAAATAAAACCAGAAAACCAAATCAAACCAAAACCAACCAGCCAAAAATCAAACAAACTCCACCATTTTGTGTAAACATTTGCACTGTTTCTTGAGTAACACTCAAAACACAGGAAACTTGGGCA